GGCTGCAGTGGGATCAGGCCCAGAACTGTCTCCCCTGTTTGGCAGATGCCCTACGTGTGTGGGTGCTGCCAAAAGAGGTGGGGGTTTATCTCTGCCTGGGCTGCAGCAGGGCTGCGGGAGCGAGAGCCAGGCAAGATATGTAACTGTGAGGTTCGGCATGTGTCTCTTCATCCTGCTCCCTCTCTTGGTACAAACACTGTCCAGATTTCCAACGTCAGAGGGAGAGACACCAGCCAGATTGTTTTACGGTTTCAAGAACTCATAATGTTTTCCAGAGAACAGAGTGGCAGCTCATCTTCTGCAGTGGGAAGAGCTGTGGCAGCCTCCAGTTGTTGCCGACAGCCCTCTGACCTCCTCAGCAGCCAAAAAAGCCAACAAAATGCAGGGCACCCTTGGAAAGGCTCTTGTGAGGCGCCTCGGTGCACCCACATCCAGAGTGGTTTGTGCCGTCCCAGTCCCCCGAGGACCCAAAGCAGAGCACAGCCTCCTCCCGGTGCTGCCATGGCTCCTCGGTAGACATCTCCCTTGCAGGGCAGGCATGTTTGCTGGCGGTCCCGGTGCTGGCACGGCTGGGCGGTGTGATGGGAGCCGACAGCCCAGGGACGGCATGGGACCCTGCTCGGGGGCGGAAGGACCCAGCAGAGACCCTGCTCCAGAGGCAATTTTAGGGATGACTTTTGGAGAGGTGCTAAGCAGCAGCAGGCTGGAACTGAAACACGCAGGCTGTGTTTCCTCGGGGGGTGGGAGGACACGAAGGGAGACGTGGCTTCGCGGGGAGTCACAGGGTGACCCTGCCCTGGCTCCCAGCCCCTGGGCCACCGTGTGTCCCAGTCCCACGGTGAGGCTGAGTCCCAGCCTCTGCTCTAGCAGAGCTGCCTGAGCCATGCTGGTGTGCTGGCAGGCTCATTACAGCAGATCTGCTTTTAATTAAGCGGGACGCTGCTTTTGTACAGCTGAACCCCTCAGGAGTTCGGGTATGGATCCTTTGCCCCTGTGGCCGGGCTCCTGCTGCTTCCCCCCATGCAGCAGGCGGCAGGCGAAGGGAGCTGGGGCCAAGGGCTTTGGTAGCACGTGCTGGAGCAGTGCGTCCAACCCGTGCAGGGTGCTGGCTGTGTCCCCAGCGCGGGAGGGCACGGCACAGGCTCTGCCATGCCCTGCTGTGGGTGTTTGGTCTCCTCAGGCCCAAAGGCAAAGCCCAGGGCTCTTGTCGTGCTGGGCAGATAAGAGTTAATGCCCCAGCAGTTGTGCTGAGCTGGCTTTATTGGCAATAAACCTCGGCTGGAAACAGCTTCCTAATCGTTACAGATTACAGGTAGCCCTACCTCTGCGGCTGTCCTTCAGCAACAGCACCTCTGCCCTGTGCTGCTGCCCCCATGCCCCCCTTGGCAAACACCCTGGGGGCAGCCTCCCCCCCCCCCCACACCCCCACCCCCCCCCAGAAACTTGCTGGCAGGCAGGACACGTGCCAGCCCAGGGCTGAGTCACGGCTGTGCACGAGAAGAGCGAACCAGAGCCTGCGTGGGTCAAATCACTGTCTTTGGACATTTGCAAGGCACCGTAATGGGGAGCTGGTACCCCTGGGGCATGGCTCTGGCATGACTGTGCCGGGGGGGGACAGCTATGCTGGGGCACAGGACATTGGAAATCGCTCCTGCTGCAGAGGCTGGGAAGGGGAGAAGTTTGTCCCAGCTCAGCCGGGAATGCTGTCCCCAGCGCCAGCTGATGGCGTGGCTGGCCACAAATGTTTAATGAACGGGAGCGGAGTCATTTGCCTGGGCTGACCCCCCCCAGGAAGCCTGTGCTCTGCAAAACAAACCGGGCTTTTGTTTGACGTACTTAAGTAAAACACGTCACCCCCCGTAAATCACAGGTCCCCTTCCCCACCCTGCCCCGGGGGCAGTGGCAGAGCAAAGGCGGGTGCTGGCCTTGAGGTGCTGGCACACACTCCAGTCACGGGCTCCCTGGGTCTGGGCAGGATCCGGCCCCACCATGGGGCTGGGGAGGAGCTGTGTGCCCTAGCAAAAAAACTGTGGGGCCGGAGCATCCCGCGGAGCCCCCCGCCCCCCATCAGCGAGCAGCCATTCCCCAACCTGCTCCCACACCCGTGGCGCGCAGCCCTCAGGGAGGTTTGCAGTGCTGGTCCCAGGGGGGGCTCTTGCCCTGGCACCCCCAGACTGCCCGCCTCACTCCCCCCAAATCCCAGCCCCGCTGCCAGGCTGCTTTTCACCATCCCCACATTCCCTGCGGGCCGGAGGCCTGGATCCCAGCCCAAGGTCGGCCGGCAGCCGGGGGCCCCCGGCACGCGCGAGGACGATGGG